CTTATCCCCCTCCCCTCCCTTCCCTTCCCTTCCCTTCACTCTCCCTCTTCTCCTCCTCTCCTCTCCCCTCCCCTCCCCTCCTCTCCTCCTCTTCCCTCTTCCTCTCCTTTCCCCTTTCTGCTCCTCCCTCCCCAATGGTTTCTTTGTGTCCCTCACATTTTCTGTCAGCCTCTCCCCTCCCCAGCACCTCTGTTTCCCTGTCTGCTCCTTCAGTACCTCTTTCTGTCCTGGCGTTACCTTTCCCCTTCACGCCTTTCTCCTGCAATTCAACTCTGTGCCAGCAAAAATGGTCTTTCCTGCATATGTCTGTGTCAGTGTTTGTCTTTCCTCTTCTCATCATGTCCCCTGATCTACTTAAAAGTCTTTCCTTGTTTGAAAACTTGTCAACAGATATTTTACTCTTTCTATAAGTTCTCAAGTCCTGCCTCCTGTTTCCAAGGCTCAACAGCTCATTGTTTTCTCATTTTCTGGAGCAGGGTCTACAAGTTTCCACCAAACAAAAGATCTCCCCCTGGGATCTTTTTGAGGGCTTGAAGCCATCAACAGCACCACTCTCCTGGGCCTGGTTTGGCACAGTCCGAGTGGACCGCCGAGTGGCACGAGGGGAGGAGCAGCAACGGCTGCTTCTCTACCACACACACCTGAGGCCTCGGCCCAGAGCCTACTACCTGGAACCACTACCACTGCCCCCAGAAGATGAGGAGCCACCAGCCCCTGCCCTACTAGAGCCTGAGAAAAAGGCTCCTGAGCCCCCCAAGACTGACAAACAGGGGGCTGCTCCTCCCAGCACTGAGGAGCGCAAGAAGAAGTCCACCAAGGGCAAAAAACGCAGCCAGCCAGCCACCAAGTCGGAGGCTAGTCCCCCATCCCTACCTACCCCCTTCCTAATTTTGTGTGGTAGGGAGCTAAAGTTCCTGGTTTAAGGGAGGTATGGGGTACATGGGGAAGGGGTGCCATTAGAATCGTGATAATAATGTATCAGTGCCACTCCTGCTTACACCCTTCTCCCTCCTTCTCCTACCTCCCGACCCCCAACTGCTGTAACCTTTGTCCTCTGCACCCATGCAGGACTATGGCATGGGCCCAGGTCGGAGTGGCCCCTATGGTGTGACAGTACCTCCAGACCTTCTGCACCATGCAAATCCTGGTTCCATATCCCACCTTAACTATAGGCAGAACTCCCTAGGCCTGTACACCCAGAATCAACCACTACCTGCTGGTAAGTGCTAGTCACTACGAATGGTGGAGTTGAACATTCCTCCCTCTCCAGGGGAGATGTGGATGGCTGGAACTGTATTTTTTAACAGGCTGAAGGGATGAGGATCTCAGAGAGGTCAATTTGCTCTCCTTTCCAGGTGGCCCTCGTGTGGACCCCTACCGCCCTGTGCGATTACCAATGCAGAAGCTGCCAACTAGACCAACTTATCCTGGTGTGCTGCCCACAACTATGACTACTGTCATGGGCCTTGAACCCTCATCTTATAAGACCTCTGTGTACCGGCAGCAGCAACCCACAGTGCCCCAGGGACAGCGCCTTCGCCAACAGCTCCAGGCAAAGATAGTGAGAGGGGCAGTAGGGAGGACTGTCAGGGAGAGGGATTTTGGTGGGTCACAGGACTGAGGAGATACTTGGGAACTTCACAAGAACATGCAGGGTAGAAGGTATAAAAGAGACATGACAGAAAGCATTTCCTGAATTTGACTTCTCCTTTTTCCCTTTAGCAGAGTCAGGGGATGTTGGGACAGTCATCTGTCCATCAGATGACTCCTAGTTCTTCCTATGGTTTGCAGACTTCCCAGGTAAGTGCCTAAGACTATGAACATAAGGGAGAGGGGAGCAAGCTGCTTTACACACTCATGCCCCAGCTCTGTCTCGCATCCTTCTCTCCAGGGCTATACTTCTTATGTATCACATGTGGGATTGCAGCAACACACAGGCCCTGCAGGTACCATGGTGCCCCCCAGCTACTCCAGCCAACCTTATCAGAGCACCCACCCTTCTACCAATCCTACTCTTGTAGATCCTACCCGCCACCTGCAACAGCGGCCCAGTGGCTATGTGCATCAGCAGGCCCCAACGTATGGGCATGGACTGACTTCCACTCAAAGGTATCCAAAGTTAGTGGTGAACTGGGAAGGGACACTGAGATATAAGCAAGCATCTGATTTGGGAAATCCCATACTAGAGGTAATAGATGAGCCTGAACTTTGGGAGACATCAGGAATACTACTTTTGTCCCATCACCATTACCACAAACAACCTGAGTTGGAACGGACCCTGGAAACCAATAGTCTCACATTTACAACCCTGGTACTTCTTGAGGACCAGAGAGAAGAAACAAATACAGCTAACTTTGATAAGAAGGGATCTAGGGTTTTTAGACATAGTAAAGAATAAGAAGTCCTAAATCTGGTATTAAATAGTCAACTCTAGGGCTGAGGATATGGTTTACTTGATAGCATGCTTACCTAGCATGCATGAAGTCCCAAATTTAATCCCAAGCAACACATAAATCCTGGCATGTTATTACACACCTGCAATACCAGCACTCTAGAGAAAGATCAGAAGTTCAAGATCATCCTTGGCTACATAATGAGTTTGAGGCCAACCAGAGCTACATGAGACCCTTGTCTCAAGGGAAGAAAAAGCACTTGAACTCTAGAATGGAGTAACAAATAAATTTCATAATTAATTCTAGTCAAATCTTAGTTAAGACTTGGGTAACTGTCATGAGGCTCTGCAACTTAGGATTCAGAATACTCTAGAGTGGGCTGATTAATTGCCTGCTGTGTAGCCAACGTTATGTTAGGACTAGAGTGAGGAAAGAGTGAAAAAAAACATACAAGGTTCCTCACCACAAAGATTTTTTTACCCTAGTTGAGAAGTAGAGGTCTTATACAGAAGAAGAAGAAGATACCATGCAGAAGAATGTTTAGAGAATGGTATGAACAAAGACATGATCAAGTGTTCAGTTGGGTGCCAACAAACAAAATGGGACTTGAGAAAAGATGGGCTACTGGCAATGTAGATCAGAGTCACTAGGGAAAGATTCACGGATTCAAGCTGACCATTAAGGATAGCTATGATTGGGATTTGTAGAGAAGGGGAAAAGGAAGGGCATTCCAGGTAAAGACAACAGCATGAGCAAAAACATGGGACTGGATTGAGTGTCTAGAGACAGAAAGGAGCAGATCTTAAATCTTAAATGTAGTGTGAATCTTGAGCTAGGGAAGGAGCAGGGGCTAAGTTAGAGGGGACAAGCTGACATATGACATTGAACAGTGAGATATAGCATTGAGAGACAACCCCAGAAAGGACTGCTTTGCTCAAGAGAGTGATAGGAGGAGCTTGGCATGGTAAGAGATCACTGTGGAAAGAGTGGACAGAGTGTAGGGGAAGGTGGGAGAAGACGAGCGAGGGAGCCCAGCTGCAGATTGTCAGGGATGGGCAGACTTGGGTAGAACAGGCATATGGAGTAGCAGAAAAACTGGGGGTGTTTCTGGGGCACAACAGCAACCACAAAACCCTTGATAGGTGTTTATAGACTGCTTATCGTGTGCAGACTGTTTTTCATAAGAGAAAAATAGCTGAAACAGAATCGAAAAATTCCTAAGCATTAAGGTTATGAGACAGTAAAATGGAGTATTGTCTTTGTGTTTTATTCCCTGACCTAGAATTCTGTCAGACTCCAGAAGGGCTCCTCTAGTTAGTGCCAAGAGGAATGAATACAATGACTTGTTAGTTGCTTTCAGGTCAGGGACCCAGGGTTTGTACCACCCCCTTTCTCTGCCCTGTGCTTTGACCCCTGGACCTCTTGTCTTTGGAGGTTTTCACACCAAACACTGCAGCAGACACCCATGATGGGTACTATGACTCCATTGAGTGCCCAGGGTGTCCAGGCAGGCGTCCGTTCAACTTCCATCCTGCCTGAGCAGCAACAGCAGCAGCAACAGCAGCAGCAGCAGCAGCAACAGCAGCAACAGCAGCAGCAGCAACAACAGCAGCAGCAACAGCAGCAGCAGCAGCAGTATCACATCCGACAACAGCAGCAGCAGCAGCAAATTCTACGGGTAAGGCCCTGGGGTTGCGTGTGAGCCTTAGGAGCCCAGGAAAGAAAGGATACATTCTTCCCATACTGTCCCCAAGATGAAACATGAGGTAATGTGCTAAGCACCCAGCAGAATGGGTGATGTAGTACTAGTTTTCTTTGGTTTCTTCAAGCAGGGTCTCATACTCATGGCTATCCTCCTGCCTCAGCCTCCTGAATGCTGGAATGACAGGCCTGCACCACCATATTCAGTTTGATCATGGTGCTTACTTAGGTGGTTTCCTTTCCCCTCCTTTTCATTTCCTAAGTATCATAGGAGAAACATGGACACTGTCTGCCAAATACACTGTTTGGTTTCTTTTAGATGTGGACCAGAGTTCTCTCACTGTTCCTTGGCCCCAACTCCCTTTTCCCTACCTGCAGCCATCTTTTCAATACGAAGTCATAGCTCCCTTACTCTCCTTAAAATTTTCTTGTATGCCTATAGCAACAGCAGCAGCAGCAGCAACAGCAGCAGCAGCAGCAACAGCAGCAGCAACAGCAGCCCCACCAACAGCCACAGAAGCAGCCGCAGCAGCAGCAGCAGCAGCAGCAGCAGCAGCAACAGCAGCAGCCCCATCAACAGCAGCAGCAGGCAGCTCCTCCCCAACCCCAGCCCCAGTCCCAGCCCCAGGTAGCTGTGGAACTACAGGAGTAGGTCCCAGGATAGCTAGCTGCACAGGATGGGCACACAGCCAGCCTAGACTAGGAACAGTGTGTGATGGGGTAATGCTGGGAGGATAGGCACAACACTAATAGGTTAGGAGGTATGGGTGAAGACAGAGATGGAAGGTTGGAGTTCATCTTCCACTTTACATTTCTACCCAGTTCCAGCGCCAGGGGCTTCAGCAGACCCAGCAGCAGCAACAGACAGCAGCTCTTGTGCGGCAACTTCAACAACAGCTCTCCAGTAAGCCTTCCTCCTTCCCAAGAAGAATCTGGGAGCGAAGTGGGGATGGGGTAGGCAGAGTTGGCTGAGGTGCTGGCTTCAGGCCCAGGTTCTGGAGGTCCCTTCCCATCTGACTAGCTTTTCCTCATGAATATGAGCCCTCATTGGTCTTCTGCCCCTGACATTCTCTCATTTTTCACAGATACCCAGCCACAACCCAGTACCAACATATTTGGACGCTACTGAGTCAACTGGAGGAACTGCTTGTACACTGGATGTGGCCCAGCTTTTCTGCTTAATTCCCAGTCCCCTTCCTGGGCGAGCTCCAGTAGTGGTTGGGGTCCTTCCCTCAGGCTCCATTTTTAATGAATTTTTAGTATTTTTGTTAATGTGAAGCATTGAACTGTTGGGTTTTTGTATATTATTTATATAGAGACCCCAGAGCTGTTGCACACAATACATAGAGCTTCTTTGCAAAGGAAATGTGTGAATCTGCACATGGAAGGGTCTCCCCTGAGAGTGCCAGGGAAACGATGAACAACTTAGAGCCTTCATGCCTTCCATATTCTCTCCCGCCATTCACCCTCTACCCTCTCCATTTCCGGAATTCTAACTACTATCCTTTCTTCCTGCTCAAAAGCAACCTTCAATGAGCTCCAAGCCCTCAAGTCCTTTTGGGGTTGCTTACCTCCTCAACTAAACAGTGCAGCTTCATAACAACTGTCTTCCACTGGGGACATAACATTAGAAGAAGGGGGTTCATTGGGCTGGAGAGAAATCAGTGGAACCCATCATCCTTCAACAACACTCCATATACTGGGTCTCAAGCTGAGAGTAGGGACAGAGGCCTGACAATACCTTTCCTTTTGTCATCTCACGTGGTCCCCATCATACATTAGGCTAGCTAGAGAACTTCCCCAAAGGTAACGTTTCTGGGCTAAGAAATTGCTCTCCAAGGGTATGAGATGTCAAAGAATAAGTGACAGAAGTCCAGAGTGGCTGTAGTAGGAAGAGAGGCCAGCAAAAAGCCACACCTGCTTCTCTCTGGCCTGCTGTTGAAACTTCATGTTTTCACACACCCACCTTGGCAGTTTCCCATGCTAACTGTTGCTCACTCCCAATTCAAAACTTCCTTCAGAGTTACATTTGGAACAAGGCCTGGGTCATTCTCACCTTCTTTGTGATCTGTTTGCTTTGGGCCTTTGACCCAAGGCTGTGCTGGAGATCCCAATTGCTTTATGACAATGGTGATTTCTGGTCTGCTCAGCTGGGGCTGGAAGGGGCTACACTAGCCTGGAAGGGGTGACAACTGGAGGGGACCCTCCAAGCTGCAGTTACACCCTATCACTGGGAAGTGTTCAGTGTGCTGATAAAAGCAGGAGTGCCAATCAATCAATATCCAAGTTGTTTTTAAAAGTCCTTCTGAGCCCACAAAGCTCTCCTACACATGGGATTTGTCCAAGTCATGAGTAAGGAATGGGCTCCCAGGTATGATAAAGCCAACACATCTGAAGCACTTTTTCCTGACTATCATGGCAAATATACTCCAGGAGCCCTAGTGGGTAGAAGTTTAGCTGGGATAAGGGACATTCAGCAGGGATTTGAGGGTGTATGTGTGCTAGGTCAAGTGGACAGGTGCATTACTGAAACTAGATAAAGGAATTAGCTGTTGGGGTGGGGTAGAAACCATAATGGTCAAACAACTAGTGTTCTGACAGTCTGAATCCTATCTTCCTTAGTAGAGCAGAAGAGAATGACATTGACCTCTGGGAGGGTAACAGGATGAGAACAAAGCAGCCCCACTGGTGGTTGCTGCTTGGGTGGTGCTGGAGCTGAGAAGAGGTGATGGTTGCCACGTGAGGTCTCTGTGGCAAGAAACTTGGGTCTTCTGCATATAGTGCCTCAGTTTCTCTCTGTGTGTCAAGGTCTCAAGTTTTGAAGTTTGGGCTTGCTGTCCTAGAAGATAAACCTACCTGTCTGACAGCTTGGGGTGTGAGGTGTGGAGGGGATGGGAAAAGTGGGAGCAGAGCTTGCTTCAACATGGGGTGAGGGTATTGGGCCATGCCCCAGGACTTGAGCCATCACTGGCACAAAAGGAGTTAATGCCAGGGACCGCGCCCCCCGTGTCCGGGCACGCGCAGCGCGCCCCCTCGGTGCGCGGGCACAGCAGCCAGGCTGCCGGAGAGCTGATCTCGGGGATTCGGGTGCGGAGCCCTTGGCCTGGAGGCGATATGGGTGGTGCTGGGCCGGGTTCAGTCGTTTGCAGCCGCCTGGGGAACAGGTGAGGCCGCCTGCTCCGGTCTCTCATCCTCTAGCTGCCCATACCTTTCCTCAATCCTGTCCCCTCCCAATCCCGGGTCCCTCCACCTCCCCAGCCAGTGGCTCCCATCCTTCTCAACCCCGTGTTCTCCATAGGTACCCCTGACCTCCCCACCCTCTCCCTGGCTTTGCTTTTCTCCTCTATCTCCTCCCTAAATCCTGCATCCCTATCATCCTCCCGCCCATGGTCCTTCTATTTCTATGGTCCCGCTTGCATGCTCATCAAAATACCAATAATCAGAGCCCCTAGTCCCAATTCCAGTATTGCACATTGCTAATACCCCCTCCCCTGCAGTGCACCCCCATCCCCCTTCCATCATAGCATCTTATAGCCAGGTTCCCTCCCCCACTCTCTGCAGCCCCCCCACCCAATGGAGGCCTTTATTCTATCCTCATTCTAGGGCAATCTCATCCTCCAATACCATTCCAAACCTACATAGCTCCCAATTCTGCAGTTCTCAACACTGGTCCATTCCAACACAATGCCCCTTACCCAATACCGCTCCAACCCCCAAAGTCCCCTTAGATGCCATTCTCATCCCAGCATTGCTGCCTCCCCTTGTCTTCTCCCAAATTGCAAGTTGGACCAGAATGGAGATCTTGGCCTTGGGAACTCACAGTGGGTCCTAGGGTACAGAGGGCATTTGGGGGTCGGTTGGTTTGCCTAGGTGTTCACCAGAGGGAGGGGCTGCAGCGAACTGACTCAACAGGGGAATTTGGCATTTGGCGCCGAAGGGTTGCTGGAGAGGAAGGCCTCAAGAAAGGGTTAATGGAATTTATGAGGTGGGGGCAGCATTGAGGGGGTTAATGGGGGGGTGCTGGCAGGGAAGCCGTGTGAATGAGCGGTCTGTGCCCCAGAGTTGCCATGGAGACGGTGAATGGGGGGATTGTGTGAACTCAGCTGCGGACTACCCCCCCATATACACACCCACCCACTCCCTCCTGCCCCACCTCCCTCTACCCCTTCCTTCCCCTTCCCCTCCTCCTCTCCTCCTCTCCACCCGGGTGCATTCTGGGCAGTGTCTGGGATCTCCCCACCCCATACTTTGCTCCCCATTTCCTCTGAGCCCCCATCCCTTTAGTCACTTTTTCTGCCTGCCTGCTTTCCTGCCTTTCTCTCTATCTCTCCTCTCTGTCTCTGTCTCTCTGTTTCTGTCTCTGTCTCTATCTCTCTGTCTCTCTGCCTCTCTCTCTGTCTCTCTCTCTGTCTCTGTCTCTCTCTCGCT